TTTCTTCTGAAGTATTAACATTAATTTATTCAGATTAATAAGAAATAAAAACTCTTACTGCTCTGAACAACTTGTTAGTGTCACTTGACTCTTTGAAGTATCTATATGCAGTGAGAACAAGTTTGTTACTCTACACGTGTTTCTCTTAAAAAAAAAGGTATACCGACCTTCTCCCTTACCACAGCCCACAGGAACATGACACAATTATGGAGGAGTTCCTATACTATCAGACAATGCCAAAGCCTAGCTTGGCAGTAGACAGATATTGTGGGCTTCTGGGCCAACATGGCAAGCTTGAAACACTAGGTCAGACATAAGTGTTTAAGTAATTTTCAGTGACTTGTCTAAATGTAGCCTACTTATTGTGCAACTTACCCTGTTATTCATGTTTTCCAGGTGAGGGGTGGGCAGGTGTGAGAGACTCTCCAACACTGCAAAACTAGTGTTATTCCTGCCACATTGTAATGGTGATGCAGAGCATGTGTTTTCTTTGGTGGGACTGAATAGAACAAAAAGAAGAAACAGCCTAGCCCTTGAGGGAATGCTGCCATCTTAAATGATAGTTAAGTGGCAGACTTGGAGCCATATTTCAAGGGAAGCCACCCCCATCAATGATCAGTGCTGCAAAATTAGCCACCAGTACTTACAGCAGAGCACATGAGAACTTGTGAAATTTAGTGGGTTTTTGTACAAACCAACTTTCAAGAGGAAATTTTTGAACTGTTTAAAGATGTAAGAAATTAATGAAATGTAGATTAAATGAAAATATTAATACGTCACTGGTTATGTTTATATGAACACTGCTTATATGTTAAAATGTCAATAAATATCATTACATTCTGTGGAGTTGTGAAGTCAAATATTTTGAGACTGTTGATTTCTTGTGATGAAAGTTTTTTTTTTTTCCCCACTGGGCCTCATGAATATGACGCCATGAAAAAGATGTATTAATCAACCAATAAAGCATGATTTGTGTTTGACATTAACAGTTAACCTAAATAAAAGCTGTGTAAGTGTTAATGGTCTGGTGGAGATAGAACAGAATGTTTTTAGGGACAGAATATTAAAAAGTCAGTTTGCATTGGGCCATATTGCATGATTTCAAAACTGTAATGAAACAGGTCTTAAAAGTGCATTGGGTCATATTACATGATATAAAAAAAATTTGATTGTGCACATAATTAGAGAAGTTCCAGATGAATATAAAGTTGGTTGTGTGAAAAAATTATAATTGAAAGTCACTGAAAAACATCTGAAAATCTGTCTTGGCAATTTTCCCAAACTTCAGCTGAGTAATTTCTGTCTATTGTCAAGTCAGAGAGGGACAGGCTTCAATATCGGCTCATGAGATAAAAAAAACACCTGTGGCACATCACTTACTAGCAAATCTGGTGAAATAATGAAAGGTTATTGGGAATGAATCTCTCTGGATGTCTGAATATTGAACTCAAAGCTATTCACACCTTTATGCAGGTGCCTGTAAATCTACATCATGTTATTTCTAATAGCCACCTGGTTTACCTTTGAAAAGTCTGATTATCAGGAGTTACAGAGAGAGCCTCTTTTATATGATTTCTGTATTAATGTTCCTGCCACCAGTGGACAGAGTTAGATCAGCTGGTTGAAGCAGTGTGTGTATGATGTGTGTATGTGTGTTTTGATTTGACTGATACTTTGAGAGGAAGTAGAGTGACAAATTGTATCAAGCAGCTAACAAAAAATTCAGATATTGTTATTTTATTTGCTGTTCATACCTGATACATTCATACCATATGGTATTAGTAACTGTTTAAATTCAGTATAGATGCTCGCATGCATGACAGCACTCCTCATTAAAACAGAACACATCTTAGACAAAAATCTATGACACCAGGAAATAGCACACAACATGAATTAGACAGGGACTTGACCCGTTCGAAAGAGATAAAAAGTAGTAGCTCTTTTCATTAAGGTAGAAAAGAGCAGTTTCAGCTGAGAATGGCACAAATCAATGGTTCATTCAAACAACTTTTTAACAAGATTTGTTCAGCTCTTCTCTCGTCTCCTCATCCTTCTTCTCTTTCATTTATCTCTTCTGTATTTGAATCCATACTGTTGTGATTGGATGATGAGGCAATACAAACTGCCCTGCAAAGGCTTTTGTAGTCCTTTCAACCTGAGCTACATCCTCTTTGTTCCTTCTCAATAAGCTTCTGTCAATACAATTTCATCTCATAACTGCACTTGCGGCTACATTCAATATACTGTGTTTTCTGTGGCAAATTTGGAAGAATGGGCACAAAACAGCGCAAGTGAAGTTCAAATTGGTGTCCATTCCGTAATTTAGCACTTGTTTGAAACATCTGCAGTGGTGTTGCATCATTCAGTATGTTTTAAAGGTCCCATATTTCACACTTTTTACAGTGTTTTATTTGATGTTTTGAAATACATAAGAAGATATACTTGCGGTATTAAACACAAAAAAACATCTCAATGTTGTTTTAAATCTCCTCTCAGGCTTCTCTCTGGAGCTCTAGTAACAACAGGTTGGTGAGCCAATCAGAAGAGAGGCTCTGAGCGTCACGGCTGTTTTTTAAGTGACAGAATAAAAACATAGCAGATTTCAGGTAAACACTCAAAGAAACCAAATCCTGCAATGTTGGACGATGTGTGTGGGCGGGCTAGGCTTGGGTCATGGCTGAGGGCGGTGACTGCTTTGTTGTGACATCACAAAGTTACAGAAGTCCTGTAACTTTGAGGCTCAGTTTCTGAATACAGACTGTGTGCATTTCTTGGACTGAGCGCCTTGATACTTTCACAGTGTTAAAATAGAACCTAGTCCTGCTTTATAATCAAAAAAGACATAAAAATCTCACTTTGTACAATATAGGACCTTTAATGTCTTGAAAACAGTGTAAATTTTGAATTTATAGTTCCCCATAGCAGCTGTGAATATCTTGGCTATAAAATCTGCAGAACTCTCTTTGTGTGTGCAAACAATGACAAAGTGTTCTTTGGCAAAGTGCCCAACATGTCATTTCTACAAGTCCTTGAGGTGTAAAGCAATACTGAAGTAAAAACTGTATGTATTCTTAGAGTAAGTAGCTAAACATATGAATATATGTATCAAAACCCTCATGTGTTGTCTGTATTGGATTGTATCTTCTGCAGTATTTTTAACTGAACAACAGTCACTGCAAAAGTGAATTAGTCCAGGTTACCTGCTGTGTAAGAAAAAACATTATGAAACTTGAGAAAAACACTCGTTGCAGACCTAGCATTCGGCCAAACTTATACTATTCATCAGTGCCATAGCCCCAAATTTAATGATGACAGAGGTTTTAAATAAATCAGCTGCTTCCCGGCCACAGCCTTGAAAGCACCTGGAAACAAAAAATGACATCAATAAAACCATGGGATACCTTATAGAAATATAAATTAAGGGATAAAATTAAAGTCTAGTTTGGATGGACACAGCCACAGAAGACAGGGGGTTTCTTGGAGAAAGTGGTTGTGCCTGTGGGCAGGAGATTTTAATGATTAAATTAAGCCTCCCATCTCTACATACACATTATCATATTTATAGTACATTTCATAATTAGAAAATATGGAGTCTTAGAATTTCTTTTTGGGCAAAATACAGCTATTCTGAGAGTGAATGTTGAACCAAAGATGCCATACAATATTATTACGGTTGTAGTATAAATATTATAATTTTGTTATATATAGGCTATATATAGAATGGAACAGATGTAATCAAATAGTTTAGATGCTGAGCAGATATTGACTAATTCAGCTGGGAATGGCAAAAGTTCATGTTACTTACAAATTAAGGCGTATTATATGTAATTGTGCCTAACAGTGCATTACTTGTTAAAATTGTGATTACAAGAGTTTACAGAAGATGTTTTCAAAGTGTGCATTCACAGTGCATTCAGAAAATATAGACCCCTTCACTTTTTTCACATTTTGCTATGTTGCACCCTTATGCTAAAATCATTTCAATACATTTTTTCCCTCATCAAACTACATTCAATACCTCCTAATGACAAAGCCAAAACAGATTTTAGAAATGTTTACAGATTTATTAAAAAGAAAAAAATGAAGTATCACATAAGTATTCAGACATCACAATCTTTGCTGACCTGTAAATATTTTTTCAATTTGAGCATTAATTTAGATAGATAGATCGATAGATAGATGATAGATAGATAGATAAATAGATACTTTATATATCCCCTAGGGGAAATTCATGTGTCTATTAGCTCATTGTTGATAATAATAATAATAATAATAATAATAATAATGATAATAATAATTAGATTAGTCCACTTCCTTTGGCTGAGGTGTTGTATAGCCCGATGGCAGTGGGAACAAAGGCTCTCCTGAACCTCTCTGTTCTGCAGCACAGTGAGATGAGACGTTAGCTGCTTCTCTGTCCTGCCAGAATGTTGTGGAGAGGATGGCTGATATTGTCCAAGATGGCCTCCATCTTACATTGCATTTGTCTCTCCACAACAGTCCTGAGTGAGTCCAGACTCCTGCCAAGCACAGACCCAGCCTTTTTTACCAGCTTGTCTCTTTGTGTTCATGTCTGACATGCTGCTAAGAATGTGTGGAGCATGTAAAGGACGGCATCATCCTCTCCAATATGTTCTTTGTAGGCGAACTGTGGGGGGGGGGGGTCTAGTGCATGTTCAACCTGTGGCTTCAGAAGGTGGAGAAGCAGCCACTCCAGGGTCTTCATGATGTGTGATGTGAGGGCCAACGGTTTGTAGTCATTTATCTCAGCCTGTCGCCTTACTTTAGGTACCAGAACAAGACATGATGTTTTCCACAGGACCAGGACCCTCCTTGTTTGTTGACTGAAGTTGAAGATCCTCTGGATAGGCTCAGCCAGCTGGGCTGCATAGTCCTTTAACAGCCTCGGACACACACCATCCGGGCCTGTTGCCTGTCCAGGACATAGCCTCTTGAGCTCCGCCCTCACCTCCTCCGCTGTAAAGGACAGGAGACTTGACCCCAGTGTGGAGGGAGTTGCAACTGCGGTGTCAGGTTGAGGAGAAGATGCCGTAGGAGAAGATGCAGCTGAAGCAGTGGGAGAGAGAACAGGTGAGGCTGTGTCACACCTGTTGTAGAACAGGTTGAACTCATTGGCCTTGTCCACATCACCTGACGTTGCCTGGCTGTTCTTCTCTTCTTACTTGTGATGTTATAGGGAAAACGAGTCAACATTCATTTGGAAGCTTTATTAGAACCTAAAATCACATTAGATTCTCCACAATGCAACATTGTCTTCTCTTAAAGTCCCAGTCCCTCCAGTTGATGCCTGTCAGGATTTGATTCTCAATCTACCTATCTATAATAAGTGTTGTTAAATAAAATGTGTTGATTTTGGTCATTCTTCTACACAGCTAAATCCATAAATCCATCCTTTCAGACTCTTTTATTCCCTGTGCCATCCCCCTCCTAAACTCTAGAAGGTAAATGTAGATGCTAACTTATTGTCTAATGTACTGTTTCTGTTTTGTATGTATTAACTTATTGTCCTTTTTCTTTTGGTCTTGGTGTTGTATTTATGAGCCCCGTGTTTTTAAGTTTTTGTGTTTTGATGTGTGCTCAATGCATATATCCCACTGCTGCAAACCCAATTGCCTCGCTGGGGACAAATAAAATGACTGTCTGATTGATTGATTGATTTTGTCTTTGATCATTTGTTTTTCATCACCTTACCACTTTGATCCATCAAAGTCACTTAGTTAAATATCAAATCATATGTAATATGTGAAGATGTCTTATCATGTTTCCACATAAATTCACAATAAATGTGTTCATCACAATGGAAAGGTTTGAAGTAACTAACAAGTGACCTATAAATGAGATGTAAAACCACAAAATAGAATATAGAATATTATGAAGTATGAAAAAGAAAGCTTGCTTTTGTGTCATTTGACCAAAGCTTGAGGCGTCCTGTCAATAGTTTGATTTTACAATGGTCGTCTATGGTGGTAGTGTTTTTTGGGCTACAGCAGATGCGAAGTCAGCTGTGGCTGATGGGAGTGTCATTTGTTTCTCTTCGGCTGAGATATTTGAGTGCCGCTTTGTCTTGCCTGTCAGGAGAGATTACATCAGAGTCTGACGTACCTTTCCATTTTCAATTCTTGTCTCTCGTAGCTCAGTGGTGATTTTCTCCAGGTGGTTAAGTACAGCTCAGGTATTCTTCAGGCGACACTTTGGATCTCACCAAGAAACACTCTCAGCCCACACTGTCACCAGATTGTTTTCTATCCCATGGTGGACATACTAATTTAGTGCACTGTTTGCTGAAACGCCAACACATCTCAAAAGGCAATTGCTTCTCCATTTGCTACCTTGAACTATCAACGAACATCAGCAGATATACATACAGTACAGGACACAGACACACTCAAGTTGCAAAAACAACGATAGAGGACAACAGCGTGGGTTTTAAATGTGTTGAGGGGTGTGTGTGTGTGTGTGTGTGTATGTGTTGGACTACACTCCTGTAGTCCATCGAGGCAGACAGGGCTCTCATTTGTCTGGAGTCTATTCCAGCATGGCAGCTCCATCCTCAGCTCTGTGCCTGTTGCTATTTGTCACTGTCAGTCGGTCCCAATTAGTCAGTCGGTCATCACACACACACACACACACACATACACACGCACACATGCACACACTCATACACTGTACACACACATTTATCAGAAAGTTATTCTGAAACCAGGGTAATCCATCCTCTGCTTTCGCAGCTCTTTGAATATATGGATCCATACATATGACAGTCACTGTCTGGTAATTAATGACTGAACAGTGACTTCACTGCAACTTCAACATTAAAGAATATATATAAGAGTATGGCCATGGACTAGCAACCAACTTTAAATTTTCTTACAGTCTCAAAGCAAAATAATGCGACTGTGTCCAGGTTGATATGGTGTAGAAGAATAAATTGCAGCTGTGCCAACAAACTAACCAAGTCTCTTAACAAAAGTGAATGAGTTCAGAAAGTTGTGAGAAGCTTCTGTTGTACTGTAATAAAAAATATTTAAAAATGAAAAAAAATGTTTTTTCTGAGTGTTTACTTGAAATCTGCTATTTTTTTATTCGCTCACTCAGAAGAGAGGCTCAGAGTCTCCTGTCTTCTGATTGGCTCACCAACCTGCTGTTACTAGAGCTTCAGAGAGAAGCCTGAGAGAGGAGATGTAAAACTACATTGAGATGGTTTTTGGTACTTAAAACCACATATACAGTATATATTCTTCTGGATATCAACACTTCAAATAAAACACAGTAAAAGAGTAAAATATGGGACCTTTAAAGTTTTGCCACCTTAGTGCTGCTGCTATGGGAGCTGACTGTGTGAAAAGAAGAAATGGCTTCAATCATAAAGCCTGACTTTTAAAAAGCTGTTAATGTATGTACCTGTGTAATATGATGGTTGTTTTTACAGTCTACAACCATTATGTAATCAATGAAAGAAGAGATTTTACAATTCCATCTTGTGTGCCGTAAATTACATAAATGCTCTAACCTTTAAAACATACCGGCACTCCTGTAAACCATTTTAAAGGGTCTGGTTTTAAAGAGTCTTACCCCTGATTGATTTGTGTATGTGGAGCTGGTATGAGTAGGCCTAATGCATTAACTCTGGACCTTTTCCAGGATGAGGTAAACATTCAAGAAGAAAAGGAAGACATTTCAAGCAGGCAGGGGTCATTGTGTGTTTATACACTGTTGGAGAATCAAACACATGCTACACAGTGAGCAGACTTCCCTGCAGCGCACAGCTGGTATTAAGCAGACTAAATGACCACACTGCTTTACTGTGAAAACTGTCTAGGTGTGTGGGAAAGCTATTTTATTGAAGTCTTTTTATTGGCTATTTCTAGAAACCACGAGTCACTGTGGACACCTTTAATTAATACTCTATGGTTTCATAGCGAAGTAGAGCGATTACTAAAAGCCAATGTTGGGCTGTCAAATGAAACTGCTGGACAAAGGCAGGATAATTATGACTAACTGGGTTTCGAATGGGGAGCCACTGAATTGGAATTATGACACACACATGCACACATAAAGAGCAGGTGTAATGAAGTTACAGAGAAAAAGAGACAGAGTTGGTGGGGGATTGAGACGGGAAAAGGCGAAATTAATCTCTTCTCAATTCTGGTCAATATCTCACGCTGCTTTCATAATTGATGAATACAGAACATGAGGCCCATTACAGTGAAGATTAGTCTGTCTCTGTGTGTGACAAAGGAAGCAGTCACAGTCAGAGTAGGATCAGAAATCATTTCAAAGTGCTCTTTCCATAATTGAAGCTGCCTGGCATTATCAAACCAATTGTATTGTCACTAAAGTGCAACACTACTCATCATACACCAGGACAGGTCTCAGCAGCGCCTGCTCTAAGTGGGACTGTTACAGACCAAACCGGACCACATCTGGCAACCAGATTCACCTTGATCCGATTAAGCTTAAATTCAATCTGTGATATGATGACGTAAGTCGGAACAACGAGAAGGGAATCATTATAGAAAGACATTTTAGCTTTATCCCAATTCAGAGGCTGCATACTTTCAGGGCTGCATTTGAAAATCGACTGCGTCACAGCATTTCGAAGGTTTGTTCAAATGTGGCGGAGAAATGCTGCCTTCTTTTCCTGGGCAACGAACGTTCCAACGGGTGGATCCTTAGTGGCCCAATCTATCACAAGATTCATTACACGCTGGTAATGAAAATAATATGGTAGAAAACAACACACACAGAGAGCCCAAGGATTACACTTACACTTACTTACACTTTCATGTAAGTATTAGGTTTCAGCTCAGATCAACAGCTAACAGAATAACTGTTAAAACCAAGGGCCTTAAACTGTCAGGTTTTTGTGAAAAAAAGTTACTTGTTCTAAAGGTTGCTAGGCGACAGGAGGCAATGGTAAGGGCAGACACAGCTGATGACCCAAAGCCAAAATCCTTCATAGGCTAGACTGTCTCATATCAGTTTGGCCTTCACTGTCTACAACAGTTACGAAGAGCCACACATTCATGGACCACATCCTCCGAAGGATGCTACACCTGAACTGGGACACAGCTTATATGTTTTACTGCAAATGCCAGAGAGAGAGAGAGAGCGTGAACAAATAACTCGTTTTTAAGAACTGGTTTAAACATAAAATATATCCGGTAATCAGCTGCTTAATTCCCATGGTTAGTTAAAATTACTTTTACACTGACTGAGTGTGTTGTGTGTGTCTGCTGCTGCACAGTGGTGGGGACTCAAGACCAAACACAAAAGGCTCTTTCCTGCAAAATTTTTCAAAGTGTAACCTCTACTGAAAACAGCAACATTTTGCAGTGAAATCACTTGATTTACAAGCTGCAGTAGCACACAGAAGTTCACGAGGCAGCTCTGCGAATATTCACTGAAGCTCAGACGAACTCTACTATGTGATTTTCTGGTGTGAGAAAAGCATCACAGTTAGCGATAGGCACGCAATCAAACAAACTCACTGGCAGACACACAAAACATTGGTGTCAGGGATTTAAAATCAGGAAGGCTTCAGGTTGAGGTAATGCAAACATGTAACATGAATTGTTTGGTTGCCATGGCAGCGTATGCATCTAGCAGACCAAATATTTCAATGCTTTTGTCGTTTACAAAAAAAAAAAAAGGCAGCTATTATGAAGCGAAACTCAAATACTTTCTTGCGCTTTTATTTTGCAGGCAAAATTGCTAAAGCTTGTTTGTCATTCACTCTCAACATAGATGAAAGTATAATATGCATTCTTCAGGAGGTGGTGGATTCTCTATTTGACCATTATAGCTAAATGTGGGGCTGTCAGTTCGATTATTATTATTATTGTAAGATTGGAAAAAAAAAAAAAATCAGAATATCAACATTCTGGACATGGTCATCGAGCTGGACGGGCTAATTCACTACTGGAATCTCCGTCTGCTGGGATTCATGGCCAATACACTGTGTGCTTATATTCACAAGGAAAGGTGCGAAAATGTTGTGGTTGTGTCCAAAGACTGTTCTCCACTGGAGAACAAGGGAGCTCACCTCTATTGTTATTGTAGTGCTCTATCTGCCAGAGCTGTAGTGATCAACAAACAATGCTGGGGACGTTTAAAGACTTTCCAACATGTCAAGAAAATATACCGGACCATGAAAACATCCAAGTTGTTGCTGCTGTTGTGAGAGTGCTCTCTCTTACCCAAGACTGTGTGGTGTTTGTATGTCTGTTCTATGTTGTGCTGAGGTTTTTTCAGGCTGATGTATGTCAAGCATCTACAGTATATGGAAATGACAATAAACCTGAACCTGAAAGTGAATGGGTGAATGACTAAGGCACAAAAGCAACTTACTGTAGATGATGACCTGGACATTAAAAATGTCTTCTCTGTATTAGTAAGATATGATGTGGGCTATGTTGGAAAATATTTCTAATCACAGTCTTTTAAAAGATAACCTTCAAATAACCGGCTCTCTTTCTGTGTGTGTGTGTGTNGGTGTGTTTGTGTGTGTGTGTGTGTGTGTGTGTGTAGGTGTGTGTGTAGGTGTGTTTGTGTGTGTGTGTAGGTGTAGGTGTAGGTGTGTGTGTGTGTGTATGTGTGTGTGTGTAGGTGTAAGTGTGTGTGTAGGTGTGTGTCTGTGTGTGTGTGTGTGTGTGTGTCTGTGTGTAAGGTGGGGGAGGTGGGGGTCACTTACGGAGGACAAGAACTCCATGGCGAAGCGACTGAGCGCGGTTTGGCTCCACGGTGACGTTCAGCATGGTGGGATTTCCCCCGATGATGCACACCCGGTTGTCTTGCTCTGCCTCGCGGAACATTCGCAGCAGCTGATTGGCTATGATCCCGTTCAGCGCAGATATGGCCACCATGGGAACCACGAAGGACAGAAACGCATTCACCTGTTCAGGAGGGAAAGGCAGAGGGCCGACAACACTGGTTAGAGTTTAGAGCTGACACACTGGTGAAGTCAGGTAAAAAAATTTTGATCAACTATGTGGTTCTCAACAGTAATGGGTCCCAAACTTCGAAGCATCACAAGGTGATTAACAGGATAGAAAAGAGGAAAAGATTTTACAAAATGCCATTGGTGTGTGTTTGTGTTTGTGTGTGTGTGTGTCTGTGTGTGAATGAGAGGCAAATAGTAAAATGCTTAGGTTATCTTATGTAAATGCAAACTTTTTCCACTTAGTTTTACCTCTTAACGCAACAAGAATCAAAGTTAAAGAGCAAGTGCAAATTGCTAATTGCAATATTTTTGATTTTTTTCCGTGAAAGGCTCGAATGTCTGACTTGTTTAAGTCAAACGGTTCCAGCGAAATTTGTTTTTGGCGATCCATCAGCTTTTCAGCCTAGGCCTGACATTTCCACTCAGGTTTATATGCAAATTGTGACAAAGGGTATAAAATAGGGCTACACCTAACGACTGTTGTCATTATGGATTAATCTGCCAATCATTTTCTTGATTAATTGTTACACTTTCCCACAGCCTAAGCTGATATATTCAGATAGTTTGTTTTCTCCAACTAACAGTCCAGAATCCAAAGAGTATATTACTCAGTGTACTATTATACAAGATAAAGAAAAGTGGCAAATCTTCACCATTTAAAAACTAGATTTTTGCTTAAAAAGAGACCAAATGAATAATTGATTAAAGCCAGGTTTGGCAGAAATGTCGAAAAAAGAAATGAACAGTTTGAAATTACAGCCGCCCTCCTGCAGCTCCCCTCTCACGGGCGTATGCACACGCTTAAGGAGAACAAACTCAGCCTGATATGCCATGGCCATGTGCTGTAAGTCAGCAGTAACGTGTTTGCAGTTTTCAGTGCAGACAATAAAAAGAAAAGAAAAAAAGATTTTGCTCATGCCAGCACAGTGAACATCAACACAACATATTATGAACTTCCTTATCATGTGTTAGAGTTAGAAAGACCTTAAAGTTCATAAAGTAACTAACAAAATTGCTATGAATCCAACTCCATTCAACATAAGCAACACAACCACGAGCCTTTGGATACAGTTAGCAGAAGGCTAAACGATTCAACACAGCCAGTCATCGCCTGCTTTCACGGTGAATCTACCTACATAACCAACCACAACACATTTACATACTGCAGGAAAAATTTAGTTAGCAGCCTGTTAGCTGTCCGGGGGAACTACTGCAAGTTGTCTTCATCTCTGAAACACCTTGACTGATATTATATATATTCTTCTGAAGGAACGTGCACACACATCTGCATTTGTGGAAGAGGAAATATTAACTCTCTCTCTCTCTCTCTCTCTCTCTCTCTCTCTCTGAAAAGATTTTCTAAAGCCTGAAATCAGAGCCAAGAGGAGGTGCAGACGTCTAGTTTCCTCTCAGCCACTTGAATTAAAATATGCAGAAAGAGGATTATGGAATTTTTCCCCATTGACGCCAAAAAATGACTGCGTACTCCAGCTTGAACAGAAAGTTTCCCTTGATTGAACTAATCATTTCAGCTTACTTCCAGACTTTCTGCAGCAGGAAACTAATATTTGGGGAAACAAACAGGGAAATGACCTGAATATATTATAACTTAGAGAATTTAAATATATTGATTTAGCTGAGTGGGACTGCAGAGGCTTCATATAAGCCTCAGCTTATGTTTTAAGACAGTTTGAAAAGTCCCAAACCTATTATTTAATAGTTTGCAACAACAGGAACAATGTTATTTCTTTCCTGTTGGCTCAGTGGCTCATTTAGCCATAACGATTCTGCATAAATAAAATTAAACACTTCTTTTCATGTTATTGTTCTCATAACCTTTTGTCTGTCTTTTTACTTCAGCTTTTTAAGTCAGAGAGAATGAATATTTTCATCTCAAAACAAAGGTAATTACATGCAAATACTGTTCATAATTACTTGAAAGCAACCAACGTTTTGAATCATGAAAAATACATGAGAAAATTTAAGAATATTAGAACAGCAGACATCCAGTGAGAGAGAGGGATGACAGACAGGGTGGAACAAGACCAGATGAAAACATATGGCTGTACAGTGTATGTACCATTATCTTTAAAGGAGGCAAAGCAATAACTAAACATAAGACACACCAAGCAGGAGACAGCAGAAGAGTGGGAGGGAGAGAGAGAAGCCATCAGTAACTGCTAAGCTAAAGAAACTAGCAGATCTGAAGAGCATGTAAACAACAGAAAGACGAGCAACCGTGAGACAATACTCTTACTGCAGCACAGCAATAAAACCCTGTAAAGAAGTAAAGGGGTTTCTGTCCACTGAAACGCTACAAGGCTGTTAATGTGAAGTGGTTACAAGAAGTGTTGAGTCAGTCAGTCACGAACATTCGTGGATCTATCATTGGACTGTGGCCGGTCCAAACAAAAAAGAGTGGTGGAGACAGATGTGTAGGGAGAGAGGCTGTGAAAGGTGAACCAGGTGACAGTAGGAGGAATCATAAACAGGTAAGTAAGTAGATTAGAATCGCAACAAGGCAATTTGAGTGGACAGCTTTTTGTGCTTTTGAACCTTTTCATAATTAACATAATGCTGTCCTGCTTTCAGGGAGGAGTCAAGCCCAGTCTACAGACCTTCATAACAGGCAGGTGGTGAGAAAAGCTTCTTCCCTTCAGGAGTGCCAAGTTCACCCTCTTCAGACAGCGTTTCAGCTGTTACGCTCAGGTTGTTGGTTTCTCTGCTAAAACAGTATTTTACTGTTGTCTGGAGATGGCTTATTTACACAGACTGCTTACTTGACTTTTGCGCTCTGACTCTGATGAATGAAATCTTACATATCACTTTGGTCATCAGTTTCTTGTAAGGGACAATAAAGATACTTTGAACTTTAATTAAATTCATCTAGCGGACACAGGAGGTCATTCTTTTCAACTCTTTGTTTTCACTTGCAAAAGAATCATGAAAACATACTGACATTTTGGTCTCTCTCTCTTTTTTTTATTTTTTTTTTAGTAATTCAAATGTTCCATCAAGAAACACTTGAAATTATATTTCATGGGTGCCAACTTTGATCAGAGTCATAATGAAAAGTTTTGTACCAATCATTTTCTTCACACTGTGATGCCTTGCTGCTGAGAGAACATAAAAGAAGGAAAATAAAGTCAGCAGTGAAGATTAATGAGAAAGAACAATGGAGTGAGGGTGGAGGAGAAAAAAAAAAAAGAACAAAGAGAGATGAGGTGCTGCCAGACATCAGTTATGACAGCTGACTTCTTACTCCAGCTGCTGTGTAACTGTATGAGAGGCTGCTGAAGACAGGAAACGTGCGTAGATGTGTGAGGTGTTCATTTGTGCAGATACTCGCTCAATAGATGTAAGTTTCTCCTTACAGCGTTTTCTCTCCACCTACACACACACACACACACACACACACACACACACACACACACACACACACACACACACACACACACACAGAGGGAGGTGGGGGGATCCAGTGCTGTTGTTTTTCTAAAGGATAATCATGGGTGAAGAAAAATGTTAATGGCTTTAATGAACAGGCTGGCTGACTTCTGAGGGTCCCCTGCCCTCTAGACATTGATGACCACAACCCCAGCTTGGGTAGAAAGAAAAAAAAAAAGAAAAAGAAAAACAGCCAAAAAAAACTGGCAGAGCGACTGCTAATAATTGGGACCGAGATGCAATGAAATTGAGATGCTAAAAGACAAAATAACAGTGTAAATTATAACTCTGGTGAAGTTTGAAGTGTCTCATTTTGACCTTTGGATGCATGAGCTACAGTAGGTGTAAGGTTACAAAATCCTAAAATAAATGAATGTCGTAGTCTTTCACAAACTACATGACTGCAGGAGGCTCCCTTCACTCATACCAGAGCTCCAGCGGTGTAGACTACAACTCTTATTGAGTGTTGAGAAGCCATTTTTACAATTTACCTCCTTGTCACCAGAGATTTACAACTTCTGTGGGATGTGCCTGAAAGAGCGTGGTGAGTCTATTTACTGGTGACTTCCCACCCTGATGAAAACTATATGATTAACTTACATGAGATGTTGTTTTTTTTTTTTAAATTTGGTGCTTGAATTTAACAGCAAATTAAAAAAAAAAATTAAAAAATCCATCCTGCCATGTTTGTGGACACAGAGCTGTCGAGGCGTAGCAGCTCTGCAGCAAAGTGCTCTCTGAGAACATTGGTGTTTATATGAACACATTGAGATTCTCTAAAGGTTTGTGCAGGGAAGCATGTGTGCCAGGGGTGCGCATATTTGTATCTGTATCTGAAAGGAGACCGAATGCTCTCCACCAATACAGAATCCATGATTAACTACAAACTCGTCAAAAACAGACATGTATCAAAATTTCGGTCTTAGATCTTTACGATACAGAAATAAACAAGATAAGGTTGTTTCTTCAAAAATTTAAAATTGAGGCATTTTGTATGTGTAAGTAAATAAAAGGTAAATAAACCATTACCAAATCCCAGCCATTAAAAAAAAACAAATCTTCTCTCTCCTTTGGAAAAAAATCCATAATTGAAATTCTGATTAAAATGCAACAGTGACACTTGCAGGACAGGCATGAGGGGAATATGTGAGTGTGACGAACTAGTGGCAAATGCATGCAACATAACTACTTTTAAACATGTCACTAAAACTTCTCAGCAGCAGGGACGTGGGGACTGGTCAGAGCAGAGGGAAGGATGAATGCAGCCAGTTCACCTTTCAGCACGACAATGGCCCAAAGCATAAAGCCAAGACAACACTGGGGTGGCTTTGGGACAAGTCTCTGATTGTCTTTGAGTGGCCCAGCCAAACCCAGACTTAGACCCAATAAAACATCTGTGGAGAGACCTGAAGATGGCAGTTCACAGTTGCTTGGACAGTTTATCCACAGATGTATAAACTACATCAATCATATGCATAGCTTACAGAGACTACCAACTGACTGAAT